CACAAACTAATTTTAACCACAGAGCAGGTATTCTTTACCTAGTTAGTTAAATAGAAATCCTGTGGGTAACTGGAAATAAGGGCAAAAAAACTATTTTCAGAATGGTTTCTGAGACTAGGAGTGGACAGCTGGATTCTGCAAGTGTGAGGCCAGTTGGATATCTGTTTCTTCACTAGAAAAGACATGAAAGAAGACCGTTTCCAAACTGTAGACTGACACAGTGACCATGACCATGAGAGATGGCTAAAGTACAGACCTTTCTGAACTCAGAGCTATTTTGAAAAAGTAACTTTCCTTCTAGGTAAAATATGTATAGGAATCTATTTTCCGTGGTTATCTCATATGCTCAGGAATTGAATACAATTTATTTTTTAAAAGAAATGGCAATGCAATGTCTCTATTACCTGATCCACTGTGAGCTACATAAGTTGTTATCAAAATTTTAGAAAAATTACAGGCAGAGGGAGAAAACACCAAGGTCAATAACAAATGGAAAGCTCACAGAATTGAGAAATTTGGACCTTGCTTGACCTGCTGGCTTCTTGACTGGAGGGAAATTACTTAGCCTTCCTTTAGCTTCTTAGCCTCAATCCCTTCTGATTTCAAACTGCCATCAATCTTTTAAGCCTTGGATTCCCCATTCCTCTCTATGTTTACCAAACAAATGGTACCTATCACATTCCAATTGTATTAGAAATATTCACCTTATTCATTTAACAAAAATTGATCATGCCTAATTTCGGTTGTGCACTCCCTTAAACGCTGACTTTGCAAAGGTGATTCAGACAAGCTCTTCAAAAGCATAGTGTAGATGGGAGAACATAAAGAAAATGAAACATAAAGAAAAGTACAATGAAGGTATGATTAGATGCTACAATACAGGTACTACAGGATGCTACGAGCAGCTCAGCAGGTGTAACACTGGGCTGGATTTGGAAAGGATTAATCTCTGTCCATGAATGCCTTATTTCTTTTGCTGACTTGGAGGCAGGGGCCAAGCCTCATCATCTGTATTTCTCACAGTGCCTTTTCCGTGGTAGGTGCCAAATAAATAAATTATATATGGGATGAATAAGTGAAAGAAATCCAAATTTGAAGCTCTTGATAAAGGAAAAATACATTCAGGTTTCAGAAATATAATAAAATTGTTTTCTGACAAAAGGGAAAAATTACTTCAAGTACTCAAATATGTGTTGGTAAAACAGTGAAATGACTTTAAACACTAATTTGAAAATAAGAGCCTCTGAGCCTCTTCTTTTGGTCCCCAGGAATCAGAATATTGTAATGCTGGGACTTCTCTGGTGGTCCACTGGCTAAGACACGGTGCTCCCAATGCAGGAGGCCCGGGTTTGATCCCTGGTCAGGGAACCAGATCTCACAAGCTGCAATTAAAGATCCCTTGTGCTGCAACTAAGACCCAGCATAGCTAAAAAAGTAAATAAAAATATTTTTAAAAAGAATACTGTAATACTAAGAGTTGCCACTGAAACAGGAAGAAAATCCATCATTTCCTTTCTCAATACTCCATGATACAGGTATTATCTTTCCCTTGACTGGAACAGGAAGATTAAGTCATTGGCTTCAAATCTTTCAACCAGCATATGGTGAAGACTAGACTAGATTCCGACCCAGTCCTGCCTGACCCCAGAGCCATGCACTTAGCTGCCAGATGACGCAGCTTCACAGCCTGGTTGACCCCCAGGAGTGAGTCGATAAAGATTCCATTATGCAGATAAGCACTGTGCTGCAACGGTGACATGTGTCATTTTTTGAAGATCACAGAAGAGAGTAAAGAAAACCTTTTTGCCTTTCAGTCATTTAGACTGAAAATTCTTGACTGACTTATTTTCAAAGACTCAAATATAAATTTCAAGCATGAGTCTTCCAAGGGTTTGAATGCATATGTCAAAACATAAGGTGTTGCGCTCTCCCCCTGATGCTCTGTGATGACCTAGAGCAGTGGGATGGGGGCGGTGTTTAAAGGAAGGCTTAGGAGGGAGGGGATGTGCGTATACCTATAGCTGATTCACACTGTTTTCAGCAGAAACTCATACATGACACTGTAAAGCAATAATTCTCCAATTAAAACAAAATAAAAACATAAGGTGTGCTCTGATTCTCCTTAGGTTGGATACCAAGGAATTAGAACCTGAATTCCCTTAGCACTGAGCATTTTCATCATGTTATTTTTGATTTCTTCCATTGGCACTCTTCTCACTAAAGCCACTTTTCTGGAAAACAACCAAGGAAACAGCCACCCCTAGAGTGTATGGTGGTTACGACCTCCATATCTGGAAAGTCCATCAGACTTGTGATATTTGCCTTTCACCTTAAGGCTGGTCATGTGATCTTCCTGTAAAGGAAGCCTGTAATAATCCACAGTCAGAAGATCTGGGAGGAACAAAGGGTGTCTTGAAGAAAAGGACAGGAGAGAGGAAATGGGCGACAGGAGAAAAAGAATGAAAAGGACAGAAGGTGAAGTGCTGTCCACAGGAACTTCCTAAATTATCACCTAAGCTTATCTCTAATGTTTACAATGTTGATTAAGATTCCTTTGCAACTCAGCAGCAGAAGGAAAAATATATACACAGATCCAAGCATGGAAAACTGACAGTCAGCTTGGAAAACACAAGAATTCATCCTGAATTACCCAGCGAAGGGGCAACTGACCATCCAAGGCCAGACTACATTATGACAGAGATGCAAGAGATGGGAGGTTGGAGCCTGAGGCCACTCGGCCAAATTCAGTACTCCCTGTCTTCTGACACCATCCCATCACCCTTTACAACCTTCTGGTTAGTTTTAGGATCACCATGTAACAGCTTTCCCCAAAGCCATTATCATCATGGTAGGAGAGAGAATTATGACATCACAAATAATAATAGTACAGTAATAACTGAAATTTTTTAATGAAAAATATACCATTTTTGACAGGATAATTTCTATATATCTCAGAAAAATAATATATTTTAATTAAAAAATATACATATATCAGCCTTCCTCACTCATCACATAATCAACTTTCTAGCCTCCTTTACCCAGGCTCCCATCCCTATGGTCTCAGGCACACACACTCCCTCACCAAATCCCTGATACCGCATACAGAGACCACACTGCCTGCTCTACAGGCCATGGTCTGCAACTTATAGACCAGAGGAATAAACAAGGATTCAGACTTCACTGAATTCAAATTCCAGCTTTTCCTTAGCAAACTGTATAACCATAACTTCCCTGAGTTTCCTCAATCTGAACAGCACTGGATAAAGTATGATGCCTCACATACTAAGACACAGAGAGAGGCACAAATTCCATTAATTAAATGGACAGTGACCCAACTATCAGTAGAAAATAGGGATATTTTTATTTTCAGTCAATTATATCTCAATAAAACTGGGGGAGGGAGGTTACATAAATGATAAATAGAAATAAAAGAATATAGGGGCATTCTCTATATACACTTGAAGCCAGCCATCCTCTTCTTAGTGAAGAATTCATCTGCTCCTCTCCATATCAACCTAGATTCTTCTTTCTCTTCTTCTGGGCCTACTGCCTCTTGGGATGTGAACATGTCAACATACAGTTCATAAGGCATATTTCACATGTTTTAGGCACTCTGATAAAGATTTCATAAAAGAGAAGGTTTCATTTAAAGGCTCAAATGAACTGAGCTTAAAGCGTAAAAAACTGAGGCTGACGCCAATCACCATTCCCACAGTTGATAAAAAGCTGAGTTAGACATCACTTTCATAACTAACTGGCAAGAGAGCAGACTTAAAAACACAGAACTTGTCTTTACCTGGAGTGTCAAAATCAATACCTGCCTGCTCTCAACCCTGACCACAAGTATTGCTAAATGTTCTCCACTTCCATTACTGTGGTCTCCATCCTCAGATGGAGGCACCAATCTGTGGGCTACAGAGGAGCTCCCGTCTCCTGTGACCCTAAACCCATGCTGTCCCCTGAAAAGTAATTGCACACAGTCAAGAAACAAAAACACCCTGAGCCACTGTCGAGTGATAGCTGTGTGGCTGTCAAGATAACCTGAGAAAACAGGTAGCTGCTGACAGCAGAGAGCCAAGTGTGCAAAAGAAAAACATCTCTGATAAGAAAAAAGAACAGAAAACAAGACCCTAACGTCAGCTTCTTAAGGTAAAGGGGTTTGTCACAAGTCTATCTGTCTGTATGCTCTGTTTTAGCCCGAAAAAGTATTTATATTCATTCATTCATACACTCATTCTTTCACTGTGCCAAGCACTCAGTGATAAGGGGGTAGGCATTAGCCAATACCATGCTTTACTCAGGTAAGATATACTTCTGCGTTGCCTGCATTTTAGATATATTTGTGGTTGAACCTGGGACGTTCTTATAGGGGAACTGCATATTCTCCGGTCTCTCTTCTCTCACTTCCTGTTCTCTTACTGTTGTTGCTAAAGAAGGCTGAACCTTCAGGTCAGATCTTTTCTGCAATCTGCCTCCTCTCCCCAAGCCGACAAAGAGATCTGGGACTATCCAGCAGTGGGCACAACCCACTCAACTGTTTTTTTTCCCCTTTAACCTGAAGGTCACTGTGCTTTCCTTCATGTTCATTAAAGAATGAGCTTTGCACAGGGAAGGAGAATCAGATGAAGGCGGGCAAAAGGCACCAACTTCCAGTTAGAAATAAGTACAAGGGACATAAAGTAAACATGACGAATATAATAACACTGCTGTATGTTACACAAGAAAGCTGTGAGGAGAGTAAATCTTAAGAGTTCTCATCACAGGAAAGAAAAAGTTGTTTTTTTATTTCTTTCATTTTGTATCTAATGAGATGATGGATGTTCACTAAATTTTCTGTGAGAATCATTTTATGATGAATAGAAATCAAATAATTATTCTGTATACTTTAAACATACAGTGTTGTAGGTCAATCATATCTCAATAAGATTGGGAGAAAACGAAATTAAAAAAAAAAAAACAAGAATGAGCTCGGCCGAGTGAAAATGGCACGATATTCGTACCTGGTCTCTCAGCCTCTCCTGGTGGCCCATGATGGCGGTGGCATGATGCGGGTATTTCTGCTTCAGATGTTCCAGGAAAGCTTCTCTCTTCCGGTCCATCTCCGACGTTTGCATTCCCAGGATTTCTTTGGAACTTCGAGGCCCACCTAGAGTGTGTCTCCTTGGGATGTTGCGGGAAGATTTGGAAGCTGAAACACGGCTGTTCCCATTAGAAAGACGCTCCTTGGTTCTGCGACATTCTGCATCTTCTAAGGATGTCACCTGCAGGTTGCTCTTTCCTTGTTCTGAGAAACAGAAAAGATAGAGCTCACAACTAAAGATTTCACACTAGAAGTCTCATTTACAGGACACCAAGTGCGTTTGTGGCAGCTGCTAATGTATGAGTGTAACTTAGCAGATTTGTGTGTGTGTGTGTACGTGTGTGTGCGCGTGTGCACGTGCGTGCGTGTACCTACACAGCAGCAGGAAAGAGGGTAAATCAACAACTAAAAGAAATATGAAAAACTGCACTTTACAAATAAAGATATTGCAGCAAAAATGAAAAAAAAAATTCTACAATTTCTCTTTCCCTGAGGTTATTCAAAACCAAAACACCTGGTCAGACCAGTTTGTAGGCAAGATCTCCTGGAGAAAGGAATGGCAACCCTCTCCAGTATTCTTGCTTGGGAAAGCCCACGGACAGAGTAGCCTGGCGGGCTACAGTTCATGGAGTCGCAAAGAGTCGGACAGAACTGAGTGACTAACAACGTAACACAACCTGGGTTACCCTTCACTCTCATCTGTAATTATGGAAAAGTTAACTTCAGTGACTATGATTATTTCTTTATTTTTAAACATAGTTTCATCCTAGTAACAGAACTTCTTACAGGCAGGGATCCTGCCTTCAAGCCTAGATTAAGGACAAATGATGAGACCTCTCTCAGCCTCACTGTTTTCATTAATAAATTAAGCATGGCTGAACTGGTATTAGATATGCAAATTTAAATCTTAGTTCCCTGACCAGGAATCAAACCTACAACCCCTGCAACTGAAGCATGGAATCTTAACCACTGTACTTACAGGGAAGTCTCTAGTTTTTTATTTTTAAAACATTTATTATTATAAATAAACTCAATTATTTTTAAAAATAAATTTCCAATTTAAGAGGGTAGTTGCTAATTATTTATCTTCGAAAGTTAAGTACAGAAAATACATCCAATATTTAAGAGTTCTAGAGCAGAGTCTCAGAGAACTAATTTTTTTTTAAGTCTTTATTGAATTGGTTATAGTATTGCTTCTGCTGTTTATGTTCTGGATTTTGGGCCATGAGGCATGTGGGGATCTTAGCTTCCCGATCAGAGATAGAACCTGTACCCTCTGCACTGGAAGGTGAAATCCTAACCACTGGACCACCAGTGAAGTCCCAAGAACTAAAACTTGATGCCAGTGACATAAACCAACAAGTGTTCAGAGTTCATACATAAACCAGCTCCTCCAAAGGCAGTGCCATCAACACGGTTTTTCTCTTCTTTACCTGCTGCTGCTGCTAAGTTGCTTCAGTCGTGTCCGACTCTGCATGACCCCATAGATGGCAGCCCACCAGGATCCGCCGTCCCTGGGATTCGCCAGGCAAGAACACTGGAGTGGGTTGCCATTTCCTTCTCCAATGCATGAAAGTGAAAAGTGAAAGTGAAGTTGCTCAGTCATGTCCGACTCGTAGCAACCCCATGGACTGCAGCCTATGAGGCTCCTCCATCCATGGGACTTTCCAGGCAAGAGTGCTGGAGTGGGGTGCCATTGCCTTCTCTGCTTCTTTACCTAGAAATACCTACACCTAGAACTGTAGGTGCAACACCTGTTGGTTAGACACAGAAAATATTGTAAACATGGGCTCATTTCCCTGCTCCAGTTTTTCACCCCTAGGTGAGTGTTCTGGGAGTAATTCTTCTTGTTTATCCTTCACTTCTCATTACATGGCTAATTATAGCATCTCCATCAGACCATCAGACACTGATGAGGAAAGAGAAGGAAAAAACAGCCCAATTAGTTCATTCTACTATTCTACTATTCATTCAACAGTACCTTTAGAAGGGTACCTTTAGAAGGGGGAGAAGATAGAACTATTGGTTTAAAAGATACTGAAAAAAATAAAGAAAAAGGCTCTGGGAGGCAGACATAGAGAACGAACATGTGGGCATGGTGCAGGGGAAGGAGAGGGTGAGACGAACTGGGAGGTTAGCACTGACATATATATATATTACCATGTGTAAAACAGCTAGCTAGTGGGAAGCTACTGTATAGCCCAGAGAGCCCAGCCTGATGATCTGATGACCTACAGGGGTGGGATGGGGTGGGGGGGGTAGAAAGGAGGTCCAAGAGAGGGGATATATGTATACATATTGCTAACTCACTTGGTTGCAAAGCAGAAACACAACATTGTAAAGAATTATCCTCCAGTAAAAATTTTTTAAATAAATAAAATAAGAAGTCTCTCAGACCCAGCATGAAATGAGAGAAGCCCAAATCACTCTTGAAATCATGGAACTGACATCTGGAAGAATGGGTGGAAACTGTTTCCTTTTCTTCCAAAGATGACAGGAGAAATCGTCCACTGAAAATCGCCTTCAGCATGGGAGTCCCTCACGTTACACACAGTTACTGAGTGAAGTCTTTTTCAGGTAGGGAAGGGATGATGGTAGGAATTAAAAGCCCTGAGTTCTAGCCCTCCTCCACTCTTTACTATACATGTGGTTTCAGTCAAACCATCTACTGTCAGATCTCTGTCTTGATTCCCTACCTACAAAATGGAGAGCTCAATAATACTACCTGTGTCACCAATACTGAGGACCAACAAAAAAAGCTGTGAGAAGTTGACTGTCACTATTATGAGTTTTCATGCATGTGTTTTCTTTTGAATTTCCCTTAGCACCCAACCCACGCTAATCATTAGTTGTTGTTTGGTCGCTAAGTCATGTCCAACTCTTTTGTGACTGCCATGGACTGTAGCACGCCGTGCCACTCGCCCTCCACACCACCCCCGGCCCCCCGGCCCACCCCTCCCCCCCGGCTCCTCTGTCCATGAGATTTCCCAGGCAAGAACACTAGAGTAGGTTGCCATTTCCTTCTCCAGGGAATTTTCCTAACCTGGGGACTGAACCCTCATCTCCTGAATTGGCAGGGTTCTTTACCACTGAGCCATCAGGAAAGCCCCAAAAAATCATTAGTAAGGATCCAATAAATACATCTGAGTGAGTTGGGAAAAAAAAAAAAACAGATTTGGGGAAATTAATTCCACTTATTTACTCTACCTTCTCATCATATAGGGGCTTCCCAGGTGGCTCAATGGTATAGAATCTGCCTGCCACTGCAGGAGACGCAGGTTCGATCTCTGGGTGGGGAAGATCCCCGGGAGGAGGAAATGGCAACCCATGCCTCTGGTGATGGCTACCTTGTCTGTGGTCTCTTCTCTAAAGACACAGAGGTAACAGGAGCTATTGAATAAAGACAGGCATGGAAAATGTTGCACCTCAGGTTGGGATATATGTGGGCAATCTGCAAAGATTTAAACTTATGCTTTTAAGTATGTGCACATGAGTTTTGCATTAGTCAAATTTTTGAGTACTTGATATAACAGAGTTGACTTCTAAATGGATTTTTACAATTACTTTTGGGGGGGGGGGGCTGTGCAGCGTGACACTCAGGATCTCAGTTCCCTGATCAGGAATCAAACCTGTGCCCCCTGCAGTGGAATGGCAGAATCCTAACCACTGGATTGCCAGGTAATTCCCTTGATTACTTGTGACATCATGAAAATAATATATTTTAAAAGTTATCCTGGACAGCTAGATTAATTAGCAAAATGGAATCTCTGAAAAGGTGATTTCTTCACGTGGACGTAACACACAAATATACACATCCACCCAGGAGGACACACACTCATGTTCCTCAACTACCAACAAGGGCAGAAAGTTCTACTGGGCCTTGCTCTGCCACATGAACTCACAAGAACTATCCTATTTCATCTCAGGATCCTCAGAAGACGTCAAGACAGCCAGAGCAGCAGCCCCTTGGAGACTGAAAAGTTTCCCACGTTCTTTGAAATAAATTGGGAAAGGAGGAAGGAGAGAGAGAGTTGGAGTTCAGGGTCATCTGTCAACATCCACCTTGGAGCAGCCCCACCTCCCTGACCCTCCAACCACAACCCTTTTCACACCTGGCACTAAGGTCACATCCATCTTAGGTTGTGTGCTAAGTCACTCAGTTGTATTCCACTCTTTACAACCACATGGTCTGTAGCCCGCCAGGCTACTCTGTCCATGGGATTCTCCAGGCAAGAATACTAGACTGGGTTGCCATTTCCTTCTCCAGGGGGATCTTTCCAACCCAGGGATCGAACCCAGGTCTCCTGCACTGGCAGGTGGGTTCTTTACCACTAGTGCCACCTGGGAAGCCCCCCACCTTAGGTTACTTTTCCATTTTTTACTGTCTTGTGGATTCTTCTAAATGTCTCCAGGTGCTTACGGAGGTTTAATGTAATCTGCAGGACAGCAGAAACACACAGTAAATGCACCAGTGGATAAATGCACTGGCTTCTCATTGCCCTGGGGACCCACTACCTCCCTCAGCCTCACCTGCCTGCCTGGCAGCTCACTGAGCTCTGGATCCCACCTGCTCACAGATCACCCTGCTCCACTTTCATAGCACCCGCAACAAACCAATGTGGCTCCTGCACAAAGCTGTACAACCCAGCTGTTCGACTCCTGCACAATGGGCTGTACAACCCATTCCCATCTACCGTGACCCTGGAGGGGTCACTGGAGCTTTTTCCTCTATGAGATGCAGTTCTTGGAACCGACTCCCACGCCCGAGGCAGAGGAGACAGCTCTCCCATTCCGGCCACAGGGGGAGAACAGGACCTTTTAGTTGAGGAAGAAACAATCAAAGGGGAGCAGGGAGGACTTGGAGTCACAATTCCACAGCCAGTGGAGTCTCACCAACTCCACTGTCCATGCAGACACACTGCCCGAGGCTTGGAAACAGAAGCTCAGTTCTGGCCCTTGTCTGGAAGGCACTTTGGTGCTAACATTTGAGCCTGGGTGTGTCGGGCTGTTTGCTATTTTGGGAATCAGTGTCAAACAAATAATGAAGCTGGAGTCTGAAGACAAGGTTTCCAGTTTTCCCCTTCCTGCCCCTCCCAGCCTCTGTTGGCCCAGAGCAACCCCTCCCGCAGGGCAAAGAGCAAGATGGGAGCTTCCAGGGGAGAATGGTCCCCAGCAACCTTCCCCGGAGCAGGAGTGGGGGGTCG